TAGTTCTTTAGCGAGAGGGCCAAATTGCCTGAACAACTCTGGAGTGGTGGTGGCAGCATGCCAGTGGTGGCAAAAGTGGGAGGAGGAACGAGTAGGCTGTTTTTTTTACCCAGTCACACACCCTTTCAGCTTGTCTCACCTGAACTGAAAGGTCTTCACAGATTTGCCAGTGTAGGAAAGCAAACACATGGGCCTCTCCCCATATAGACTAGCATGTAATGAAGTCAAATGTTGGAAAAGTCAAAGCAGACAAAAGAAAGTACTGTATTTTTCCATGTATAAGACGCCCCCATGTATACGATGCCCCCTACTTTTGGGGACCCCAAATTTAGAAAATGGGCATATGCACTCTCCATGTATAAGACGCCCCCAGATTCTTAACCTTATTTTAAAGTAAAAAAAAGCCCTAGTCTTATACACGGAAAAGTACGCTACTTCATCACACTGCCCTTAGTTAAAATTAGGTAATTTGCTCCCGCAAGAGTTGGCCATCAAGTTGAATGGCTTTAAAAGAGGATCAGACAAGTTCATAGAGGATAAGGCTACCAGGAGGCTATGGCTATGCTCTGCCTCCACTGCCAGAATCAGTATGTCTCTGAGGACCAGTTGTTGGGACTCTCAGGAGTGGAGAGTGCTATAGTGTTCAGGTTCTGCATGCTGGTTTCCTCTGGGTATCTGAATGACCACTGTGAGAAGAGGATGCTGGACTCGATGGTTTTCAGCCTGATCTAGCATGTTCTGTGTGTTCTTACGTATGGGAAGCGGAAGGGATAATGGAACAGGGCAACTAAATCCTCCTCCTGTGAGCATGTTTGTCAGAAAATGTTAATTGAAACAATCTGCCCTAGCAATGAGAAATCAAGTGACATCTTAATGAGCAATGTACATGGATGCATGACTCAGCCCACTGATTGGGGGGGAAAAACATGCATTTCTAATTCGATTGAGAGCAATTTCTAAAGTCACCGTTTCCAGGTACCTCTGGTGAAAAAGAGGCACTTTGTTTTTAGTTCTTTATTACCTTGGCAGCCTGATAAATACCAAATAACCTTTGGGTTGCTCTTCTGGAAAAAGGCAAAGTAACTGTGTCAGGGGTACAAGTGGGTGGCTGTCCAGGCGCAGCAGCTTACAGATGGCCAACGTAAGCCCTTTGTTTATGCAGAAGCCACTTAAAATCCTGCCGTTTGAAAGTTCTCTAATAAGACACAGTGAGAAACTTTCTGCTGTACTATGAAAGGAGAGTGGCATCATACAACATCCAAGCATAAAAAATACATAGAAGTTTATTTTAGATAAATTGTTCCCTGTTTCTGGGATCAATTTGCACAAATATCACTATACTGCAAGAAACCTGGATTAATATTAAATTGTGATTCTCGCCCTCCCTTGTCTTAATTGTTAACAAAATCTGGCTATCCCTATTCCCATTCATCGAATTCATCGCTTATTTACTATGTAACCATATTTACTTATTAGAACACAACAGGAACTACCTCAGGTAAGCATGGATACAATTGTGCTGTTTGCAAAACAGGCAAGTCACTGGTTCAGATTTGATCTTGGCCATCAAACCATTGGACGGCATTTGCAAGCTAATATCTTTCCGCCTCCATTTTCATCACTAATATAAAGATAATAACAGAAGCCAACTTTAAGGGATGCTTTAGGCTTGATTGACACAAGGAATGCAAAGTGCTTTGAGCGTATCTGAAAATGGGAAGTGTTAACTGTAATAAATTAACAGCTCATGCCTTGTCCTGGTACATGGCACAGTTATAATAAGAGCAATTGTTGTTGTTGTCAACAATGAAGAAGACACTGGGCAGCTGACTAACACTAATTCCCTTTTAATCAAGGGCTGAAACCAAACAACTTATCTAGTTTAATTTCTCTGCCCGTTAGTATAAAAAACCCCATTGTTTTCAATAAATTTCTAATGCCCATCAGACATTTTTCACCGTCTCTCCCCTCATGTTTTAGGACTGATTCTCAACTTTATTTGCCTCAGTATCCCAGATGTGCAGACACAAAATGAGATTGGTCACCACAGTCTCTCAGATTGTCAAAGAAGAAGAAAAATATGGCCGTTATTTTTGTCACCCTTTCAGGTTTCATACTTTCTTAAGCCTTGCTCAAGCATTCATCTGAACACACAATATTTAAAAGCAGGGATGTGGCCAGGGTTGTACACACAAGTCCCACTCCTAACCTCCCCATGTTTGCTCATTCCAGTGTATTAGTTCCAACCATTCTGTGTTGAGCGGAGAAGGTTTTCTGGGTTCTTTTTACTTTCATTCACTTGGACCTGGGTAGAACGCTTCCTGTGATTGGTGATTCTGAACACAGGTCTGGAGCCTCTAGTCTTCTTGTTTTCTGAGTGTATGTAACATTCTGAGGTGGTGGGACTTTCTAGCCACTTGATGCAACACCACTGAATATATTACATCAGATTAAGAATTCTCAAGGATTTGCGGAGGTGCCTCCTCCAACCCAAAGCACAGACTAGGACACAACACTCAGATACCACAGTTCTCTTAATTTTGCAGTGCACTCATTAGCTCAGAAAGACACAAAATTTAGCAATGTATGGTTTTAAAAATGCCCCATTAAAAAATATTTTGGCCTGTAAAAGATGACCAGTGATTCCTTAAAACACACACACACACAGCAGCACAGTTCACTGAAGAAACTGGACAGAACATTCATGACAGGAAAATGCGAGAAAGAGAATAGGATGGAAACAGACTGATGATTTCGTCAAATAGCGGTTTCTCTTTTTTTGGGAACCGCAAGTCTCATTTGAAGCTACTTCTCCAACTCCCCCTTTCCTGCGATTGCATAAATTAAACTATGAATGGTTTCTTTTAATAAAGTTAAATATTATTTTGCTCTGTGTGTCTTTAATCTCACCCTCTTGCCTAGATGGTTTAACTCTCATCGTATTCAGTCAAGGTATATCCCTCCCATTTAACCAAAAATACTAATTTCCAATTCAGAATATTTCATCTCTAGGGGAAACTGATTAAAAGCTCCCAATTTTCTCCCTTTGATGTGGGTGTGAGTTTTCATAGTGTGCATAACAAGAAACAATAGTTGATTCTTTTTGCTTGCTGAATAAATCCAGTTTATTCTATTTAGTAGACAAATTCCTGTGCGGAACAGACACATCTCCCAATCACAGTGTTATTATTATGGTGTGCCTTGGTGCATAATGTTCTGCTGAATGCTGAATGTTGTGCATGGGGCACTTCTTAAGACTAAAACCGGTGGATCAGACAGTTGATCTGTCAATAACATTCATCTTTTGTCAGATTTGAGCTTCTAGATATTTCCCAACAATATCTAAAACTAAGGAACAGGTTCAAGACTCTTTGTTAAAAGGTTTTGGGGAGGGGGGGCGGAGATCACATTGCAGGCAGCAGCTGTTTCCATGGATTACCTAGTCTAGCCATTCTGTCAAAGCTAGGGGGGAAAATACCCGTCTGAGCTGCAGCAACAAAACAAGGAACCAGAACATCAATTCAAGAAGGAGCTTTTTATTACTTAAAGGTTTGGTTGATGCCCATTGCAAAGACTTATGTGTTGTGAGAGAATCCTTAAATTTAAAGGCTCAACATTACAAACAATAGGGGAGAAGTTAGAGGCAGTTTCTGTGGACCAAGCTTTAAAAAAGGTGGTAATTAAACTATCTATACGAAACATTTCTTTTTGATCAACTGCGCCTGCTATCAAGGTGGTAAATGGAAACAGAGTGAATCAGCTCTCAGTATATTCACCTCGTGGAGAGTAACCTTTCCACATCTAAATGACTTGCTTTGTTTGATCTGAAACACAAATTGATGCTGCCCATGCAACACCGATAATGCCTCTTTGAGAAGGAGGATGTGGGCAGGTCCTGTGGTGTCTTTTTCAGATTGGACATAATTGTTCATTTTAACTATGTCATGGAGAAATCCTTAATAGTTGCAGATGCTCACGAGCTCTTAAATTATATTCTGTCAAGTAGGGGACTAACAGATGGACAGAAAAAGTGCATTTTTGTGAGCACTTACCATGACTAAGAGACTTTCACTTCAAGGCTGGAATGACAAACACTCACAATCTACTACTCAGTGGTCTTTCCTCATTTGAGCACATGACTTATAAATGTTGATCTCATTTAGATGCCTATCTATGGATAGATGGACTGCCTAGATTAATCTATACAGTGGTACCTCAGGTTACGAACTCAATTCATTCCCAAGGTCCATTCTTAACCTGAAACTGTTCTTAACCTGAGGCATGTTTTCACTAATGGGGCCTCCCTCTGCCACCATGCCGCCACTGCGCGATTTCCGTTCTCATCCTGGGGCAAAGTTTGTAACCTGAGGTACTACTTACGGGTTAGTGGAGTTTGTAGCCTGAAGTGTTTGTAACCCGAGGTGTTTGTAACCCGAGGTACCACTGTATGTTTAAATGAAGATTGCTGGACTATTTTATTGTTAGGGTTATCTTGTGATGGTTCTCCCTCCCCTTTTCTTCCTTTTTTGATGTATTTGCAAACCATTTTTGTAAAAAAAATATTCCCATGTTGCATAAGCTTGTTGCATGAATCAACACTCAGCATTTAAAGCCATGGGAGCATATCAGCTGTACACTGCCTGACAGGACTGGCCCAAGACAATTTGACACCTGAGGTGAGCCACTAAATGGTGTGTCTGCCCCGTCCGCCCCCTGGGAAGAAGGGATGGGAGAATATCTACATCAGGAACAAAAGGGGAATAAATATCTACACCAGGAATAAACAGGGAGTGAAGATCTACACTGAGAATGGAGGCGGGGGTTAGGGCGATGTGAGGGCGATCTGGCTGCAACATCTGTCACCCCATTGATCGCCAGGGTTGATTCGGCTGATCTGGCTGGCTAGGTGGGTGTCCCCTTCCTCCCTCACCGCTCCATGTGCGTCCCTCCCGAAGCTGTGCGCTCGGTGGAAGAGGACAACCATCCCAGATAGAAGGAGTGTACCATTCTTCGGTCAAGGGTATACGATAGCTGCGCTCCCCTGCTAGAACCTCCAAACAAGCTCAAGGTCCATTTGTAGGAGAACGTAGGGTAGTCAAGCTTCCAAGACTCCAGACACATCCAAGTAAGGCGCTGCATGTGGCAGTTTGCCGTTCTTTAAAAGGGGGGGGGAGAGAATGGAGGCGGGGGGAGGGCCAGGATAAAGATCTACAAGAGGGTAAGTGAGATCTATATTGGGAACAAGGGTGGAGGGAATCAAATCAAGCTTACCCAACAGTTGAACTGGGAATCAAAGGCCATTGTGGGAGGGGGAGGGGCTTGCTCTGAATTACCCTAGGGGTGGGAGGAGACCTATTTGCTGAGAGCCCATTGTATTATCATCATCATTATTAATTAAATTTCTATACTGCCCTTCAATTGAAGATCACAGGGTGGTTTACAATATAAAAACACAAAAATAAATACCATAATAACAAAGATAAACAATACCCCCAAATGAAAAGGCCATTGATTGTTTAATAAGCCAAAGGCCTGGGAGAAGAAGAATGCTTTTGCCTGGCACCTAAAGGTATACCTAAAGAAAGGGACGTGGATGGCGCTGTGGGTTAAACCACAGAGCCGAGGACTTGCCGATCAGAAGGTCAGCAGTTCGATTCCCTGCGACCGGGTGAGCTCCCATTGCTCGGTCCCTGCTCCTGCCAACCTAGCAGTTCAAAAGCACATGAAAGTGCAAGTAGATAAATAGGTACCGCTCCGGCGGGAAGGTAAACGGCGTTTCCGTGTGCTGCTCTGGTTCACCAGAAGCGGCTTAGTCATGCTGGCCACATGACCCGGAAGCTGTACGCTGGCTCCCTCGGCCAATAAAGCGAGATGAGCGCCACAACCCCAGAGTCGGCCACAACTGGACCTAATGGTCAGGGGTCCCTTTACCTTTAAAGATGTGTAATGAAGGCACCAGGTGAGCCTCCCTGGGGACAGCATTCCACAAATGGTGAGCAACTGCAGAAAAGGCCTGTTCCTGTGTTGCCACTCTAGACCTCTCATGGGAGATGTACACAGAAAAGGGCCTCAGATGATGATCATAGGGTCTGGGTCAGTTCATATGGGGAGAGGCAATCCTTGAGGTTTTGAAGTCCTGAGCCATTTAAGCCATTTATACACTGAGTTGGCCCTGGAAACTAATTGGTAGCCAGGAGCTCAAACCTTCTTGCTCTGCTGATGTCAGGCAGCAGAGGAAACAACTCCCATGGCAGGTTGCCAGAACAAGGAAAAGTCCTTACCACCTGCGTTTTATTCAGTATTTACAGAGAGAGGCTTGGAATGCAGCCTATTGGAGTAATGCTGTTGTCCTGAGTGACTCCCCACCCCCTTTTTCTCCCACTTCCTCATTCACCACCTTCTCCCCTATGGGTGGCGCAGAGGGCCCTTTGCTTCTGAGTCCTTTGCTCTACTACTTTCAAGGCTCACTGGGTTCTGGGAGTGGAGGCCGGGAATGCTTTCTAAAGACACTGTGTCTGTCAGCTGTTGCCCTCCTGGTGCTTCCTCCCCCTCCTCTTCCTCCCCCTCCTCCTCTTCCATTATTTCCCAGCTTTCCCCCTCATCTGCCTCTGAGCTGTGACCTCCCTCAAACCCCTGTTGTAATTCTGAACTGTCTTCTTCTTCTCTGGCCATTCCTCCTCTGCCCAGTCCCTGACAGGTGAGCAACCTGGCCACTGAATTCTGCACCAGCTGAAGTTTCCAAGCCATCTGCAGAGGCAGTCCCATGCTGTAGAGATGGCACTGAGGGGGCGGGCGGGGGCTGCTGAAGACAGTAGAAGAGACACTCCTCCAAAGACTGTGCCACAGCCATCCTTGCCACCATGGCGGCAGCAGCAGCAGTGGGAGATGCTTTCCTTAGAGGCTGGCTCTGCTGCCCCTGCAGATCCTGCTGTCTGAGGTGGTCACCTCATCTTGCCTCATGAGTGGGCTGGCCCTGCTGCCTGGTATAACAAACCGCCATGCTTGGGGGGAAAAAGCACATACGATGCCATGAAACTCACTTCATGGGTGGTCTTGGGCAAACTTGCCAGCCTAATCTGCCTCTTAGGTTGTGTGAAGCTAAACGGGATGGGAATGATAGCGATCTTTGCATACTGAAACATTCTCGAGAAATGTTTCATTCTAATAATAAGTACCATACCTTGAAGGGTTTTTTCTTCTTTCCAAAACTGATCTCTCTGCATGTTGCAGTCGTCCTCCTTTCATTGATGTCAGACAATTCCAGTCCCTAAAGGCCTGAGCTTTTAGTCTCTGCCAACCCGCAACCCTCAATATTCGACACAAGAAAGATATCAGAGAAACACTTGATTGGAAAAAATTTATGTGACAGGTCCTTGTTTACTTCTACTGCTGACTCAGCCCAGGTGCTATGGAATTTTGCCTCAAAGGTGTGGCATTTACATAACTAGAAATACTAAAAAAAAACTTTTTAAAATGGCTTTTATGGAAGTAAACTCCATGTATTAATAAACTGTACATACACACCTGGATTGGTGAATGTCACCAAAGGATGGCCCTTCAAAGCCTTTTTACCGCCCAACGGGCCACTGTTGGGTGGTAAAACGAATGAATCATTAAATAAATCTGTGTTCGCTTCCAAGCTAAAGTGATCTGTCAATCTTCCCCCTAATACAGCAAACAGCATCGGCTTGTAAATGCCTTTCAACTGACTCCCTGTATTAAATTTTTTGGGGTGCAGCCTACTGTTTCCCACTGAGTTTGTCTGGACACGCTTACAGCATTTCCTTCTTCTTGTGCATTACATGATAACATGGCTCAAACGCTGGTGACTCATATCTTCCTTAGGGGCTTCTATTATATTTAATTATTCACCTTTGGATTGTGGAAAGATTCCATGCAGCTGTTGGTATTGTTTTGGCTTCCTCTTGCAAAGCTACACCTACTTGATGTCAAGAAACTGATAAATGAGAGGTGTCTCTGAATTGACCGGCTGGGTCCCTGATCTGTGTATGACTCAGTAACTTGCAAATGAACCTTGGTTTCTAGGGAGGTAGAAAGCTTGTTCAGCTTTCATTTGAACACTCACTCCCAAAACTTGTTATAATTATGCTCTCCTATATATTTGTCATTGACCTTTCCCTTATTTTTCCAGGCCTGTTTGCTCCATAAATAGAATACCAGATACATCTGGTTAGCCAATGCATCACAGCTCCATAGAATAATCCAGTGGGTGGAATGGGAAAATGTGATTTGTTCTGAGGCAAACCTTGACACAACAGCCACAATTTAGCCTAGTGTTGCAGTTAAGGGACGCGGGTGGCGCTGTGGGTTAAACCACAGAGCCTAGGACTTGCCAATCAGAAGGTCGGCGATTCGAATCCCCGTGACGGGGTGAGCTCCCGTTGCTCGGTCCCTGCTCCTGCCAACCTAGCAGTTCGAAAGCACGTCAAAGTGCAAGTAGGGAAGGTCCAGCAGGAAGGTAAACGGCATTTCCGTGCGCTGCTCTGGTTCGCCAGAAGCGGCTTAGTCATGCTGGCCACATGACCAGGAAGCTGTACGCTGGCTCCCTCGGCCAATAAAGCGAGATGAGCGCCACAACCCCAGAGTCGGCCACGACTGGACCTAATGGTCAGGGGTCCCTTTAGATGCAGTTACGCCCAATTATTTCAATGGTTGTAGGCATACCCAGTTCTATGGTGGATTGTGGCATACATAAATATGCGAAACAACTTCCATGGGGCAAAAAAACCCAACAACCCCTAGAGTCTTGTAGCACCCTGAAGACTAACAAATTGGTTATTTCAAAAGGTGTGGACTCCGTCTCATAAAAACTTATGCCATAATAACTTTTGCCAATCCCCCCCTCCACCTACAGCTCCCAGCAAGGGTTGGAGAATCCTTAGGAACAGTGTGGGAGGTTCAATCAGCCAACTTCCCCTCCCTCCACCAGAAAGATCCCTTTTTGCTGGATCAAAAGCCTTCTGTGGATGGACACAGCTTTTCTGTCCACAGAAGACCCTTAGACTTTAGGGAGCCATGTGGGTCCTTGTACTAAATATAAACATTCAATTGCACAAGGAACACTCTAGGCCCATATTATCCTATGTACTTAGAATCATTTTCTCTCATAGAGCTTGATTCCCAGTAAACTAGTGCAGCAACACAGAGAGATTATATATGGCTATCACACATTACTGGTGTCATCAGAATTCAAACAACCATTGGCTAGCTGTAGTATCTGCGCTCAACACATATTAGTAATTGCTTGCAACCTGAATGTCTCTTGCCATGTTGTAACAAAAACTGTAATGTGATAGGGGAGTGCTGCTAGTGATAGGGGAGAATCTTGATTTAGTTCTCATTTAACAGTAAACTACCCAATTTGTACCTTCTAAATAAGGGAACCGAAACATTGAAATTAACAGTTCTCTGAATTTTGCAATACACTTCTCCAGCCAAACAATATGTAATAATAGTAATAATAATAATAATAATAATAATAATAATAATAATAATAATGTTGTATATACTAGGGTAAAGTATATACAAATGCATATACTACTGAAAATAGCATATACAGAAATGCAATATATTAGGGGGAAATGCTTTGCAAAAATTGAGTATATTATGCATGTTTCCATTGGGAGAAATTTTCACAAAAAGGCTGATGGATTTTCATGAGGACATTTTTTAAAATAAAAAATAAAAACCACACCCAGTGTGGAAATGTGGAGAACTGAACTTGCATCCACAAACAAATAGGAAGCAGAAAGGACGTGAAGGACAGATGGTAACTTTAGATGTTGGAAAATCTTTTATCCGTATGGCTGAATATAGGGCAGAAGAGCTGTTTGTCTGAAATGGGTTTGTTGTCTAAGATGAATTTCTAAATGGGCAGAAACCTCCCTAAACTAATTTTTATTATAAAAAAGAGAACGCATCTTTTGAGTGGGTGGGTGCATTTTGCAACAGTGAACATAGCATGCTGGTAACATTGAGCCTATACATTCCTTTTCCACTCTTCCAGGAAATGAATAGTTTTATTAGTTTTATTTATTACAGCTACCTTCTGTTTATGACTCTTTGTAACCTGTGTATAAGAGCTGAATAACCGCCCAATCAGATTTATTAAATATTGAAGGGGCAGTTTATTAGAGCACACCCTTATAAATTCAATGAACATCAGAGACACTAAAAACACAGCCCTGAGAGCTTTTGAGCTGGTAACAGAGACTGTTAAAAAGAAAAAGGAAAAAGAGGATTCATTTATTCTCATGAAAACAATCGGCAGGAAGGTTGTCTGTTGAAGTTACGGGAAGCCATTTTCTTTGCACATTCCAATGAAAATCCTCAGGTCTGAATTCTCCACAAAACAAGGCAAGTATTCTCACATGTGGTTTCTTTAAACAAGCAACTGTATGTGTAAAACGCAATATGTGTGGCAAGTTAGGGTGTGTGTGTGTCTGTGCAGTGGCTCTCAAACTATTTTCTCTGGGCTACACTTCCAGAATAAAAAAATTGCTTGTGCCACACCAAATAGTTTATTGATAAGAAATACATTGGAAAACAAAAAGGGAAAACTCCCATCAGAACATCATCCCATCAGAGAGACAGAGAGAGGTGAGTGTAGAGGTAAAGGAAAACATGTCAAGTTGTTTTATATCGAGTCAGACTACTGGTGCATCTAGCTCAATGTTGTCCACTCTGGCTGGTAGCAGCTCTCCAAGGTTTTAGGCAGCCCTACCTGGTGATGCACAGGTGGCACTGTGGGTTAAACCACAGAGCCTAGGACTTGCCGATCAGAAGATCGGCGGTTCGAATCACCACAATGGGGTGAGCTCCCGTTGCTCAGTCCCTGCTCCTGCCAACCTAGCAGTTCGAAAGCACAAAGTGCAAGTAGATAAATAGGTAGGTGCCGGAAGGTAAACAGCGTTTCCGTGCACTGCTCTGGTTTGCCAGAAGTGGCTTAGTCATGCTGGCCACATGACCCGGAAGCTGTACGCCGGCTCCCTCGGCCAATAAAGTGAGATGAGCGCCGCAACCCCAGAGTCGGTCACGACTGGACCTAATGGTCAGGGTCCCTTTACCTTTACCTTACCTGGTGATGCTAGGGATTGAACTTGGAACCTTCTGCATGCGAAGCGGATGCTCTGCCACTGAGTTACAGCCCTTCCTCACAGCTCATCATAACAACCCCCAGAGCCACACCCCCAGGTGTCTGAACTGCCCATGCAGCTTGACTGTGCAAAACTATGCCCAAAAGATGTACAGTGGTATACCTTGGTACTTGAACGACTTGGCTCCAAAACAAATCGGCTTCCGAATGCCGCAAACCTGGAAGTAAGTGTTCCGGTTTGCAAAAGTTTTTCAGAAGCCGAACATCTGACGCGGCTTCTGCTTGAGTGCAGGAAGCTCCTGCAGCCAATCGGAAGCCGCGCCTTGGTTTTCGAACAGTTTCGCGAGTCGAACGGACTCCCAGAACGGATTAAGTTCAAGGACCAAAGTACCGCTGTATGTTATCACGTAATATGTATGAAAGAGTCAAGCCCATGTGGTGTAGTGGTTAAGAGCGGTAGACTCGTAATCTGGTGAACCGGGTTTGCGTCTCCGCTCCTCCACATGCAGCTGCTGGGTGACCTTGGGCTAGTCACACTTCTCTGAAGTCTCTCAGCCCCACTCACCTCATAGAGTGTTTGTTGTGGGGGAGGAAGGGAAAGGAGAATGTTAGCCGCTTTGAGACTCCTTTGGGTAGTGATAAAGCGGGATATCAAATCCAAACTCTTCTTCTTCTATATTCCTGCAGCAAAATTTTTTCTTTAATAAATAGTATTTATTGCATTTTCAAAAACATACAATAAACATGGAGGCAACATCAGCTCTAGGTGGAAGGGTCCAGGGGAAGGGAGGTAGGGTGTCCCCAAAATTCCCAATGAAAGGACTGTCTCCCAGGGCGTGCTCATGTCATGTGTACAAGCCGCAGGGTGTCTGTAAAAAACATCAGCATGCCCTACTGCGTGTGTGAGTGATGTCAGCATGGATATGCGCACACACCACAAGCACACCACAGGGAGTGCTGATGTCATGCGCACCCATCCAATGCATATAATATGTGCCGTTCATGTTTTTAGTGGAACCAATAGCAAAACAACTCACGTTTCACTGAGATCGAGGAGTGTGGTGAGAATTAGAAAAAAAATCACCATGTATAAGTTCAATAGTGAGAGGTTTAGAAAACACCTTATGTTTGACAGTAGCCAGAAGTAGCTGTTGAAATGGACAAAATGTACAAAAGCTGAGCAGAAGAAGGGATTGCTCCACTCAGTGTCACTCACACACGCAATCCCAGCTTCCAGTGTATTAAAATTTATGGTCACTCTGAGCATGAGGCTGTTTGCCTTGACCTTTTAAGCTTGGCGGTCGCAGACTCTGCCCTTCAAAACGGCAACAACACACACTTCTAGGTAGGAAAGTTCTTCCCTTGATTCATTTGGGTGCTTGTTCAAATCTCTTACTAAGCCAAGTGCACCAGCCCAGGGTGACATTTGTAACATTTTGGTGTACACTGTGTTCTACAGATGCCGTGTTCATTTATCGTATTGTATATAGTAAAATACAACCTAATAAAAACTAAGAACACCAGCTCACCGTCTAATCTAGATGTGTAGCAGAGCTTGGTTGCTGTGGATAGCAGCAATTATTTTGTTACATTTGCTTCTTGTCTTTGTTCTCCATTTATAATTCTGGAAATTAGTTTTATTTTGAAATGTTTTGTCTTCTACGGCAGTGCGTATATTTATTTATATATTTGTAAACTATTAAAATTATGACAAGTTGACTTCAAAAAAAGGGCATCAGATTATTGCGCAATATGTTATTGTTTATTTTATTTATTTAACAAAATTTATATAAGGCTTGAGTGCATTAAAACATCTAAGTGGCTTTTGAAACCAGTGATCCTTTGTGTGAGGTGATCTTTTGGCTTACTTTTCAGGGAACTGTTATAAAGGCTAAGTCACATCTGCTAGCTATATCCTATCAGAATCTTTGGATAGCTGATTTGAACTCATTCAACTTTTAAACTTGAATAGAGTTGTTGAATTGAGAACAGCTAGGAAAAAAATCAAATAACTTCCAGTATGAAAATTGTGGCTGTTTTATGTTCCAGTTCAGTTGATTTGTAACTATCTCTGTGTTTTAGAACATTCATCTCCAAAGTGAAAGTCTGAGAGAGACATGCTAAAGGCTCATCAAGACCACATTTGCACCATTCATTTAAAGCACTATCATACCACTTCAAGAAATCCACCTTTACCAAAGAATTCTGGGAGCTGTAGTTTGCCAAGGGTGCTGTGAGTTATTAGGAGATATATATTTCCCTCAGAGAGCTGCAATTCTCAGAATTCTCCCTTCACAAAGAACTCTTGAAATTGTAGGCATGAGGGAATACTGGGAGAATGGTATAGAATAGTGTTCTTCACCCTTGAGTCCCTTGATTTTGTTGAGCCACAACTCATGTCATCCAGTCAAGGAGGATGGAAGTTGTAGTTCAATGACACCTGGGGTTGGAGAACACTGGTAGAGAATGTTGGGTGCTTGCTTCTACACAAGTTGGTCAACAAAGTAAAACCTGCTCACAATCTTACCCAGCAAGTGTAGAAACAACATTTACACAGAGTTTTTCTCTTCTGTTGTTCAGAAACACAGTTTCTCTGGCATATGTGCGACAGGTGTGGAAAACAGAATCTCCTGCTACACTCAAAGGAAAGATGGACTGGGAGGGCAATGCAGACAACACGGTGGTTGAGGGTGCAGTTTATTTTTTGAAGCAGAGATGATTTCACACGATGATTTCCTTGATGGAAAGTGCTTGAAGCAAGCCTGTTAGGTCCATAAGAGCATGGAGACCTTTGAAAAAAGGCTACTGCAGGAGCAAGGCATGATATTTACTCATTTAACAACTATGTAGTTAAGAGCTTCCTAGTCTTAAGAAACATTATTGACCTCCATATCTAACCTCTATACCATACCTCTGTGAGTTCTCCTTGCCTCCTTGACTCTTGCATCATCTACAGTTGCTGGCTGCCTTGCCTCCAATTTTGGCTCTGATCACCCCCATGTTCCTGCATGATCTGCCACATTGCTTGCAGATCCAGCTGACTTTTTCCTCCTAGCAAAGCTTCCCGCTTTAGCTCTGTTATCTTCATCATCTTTGGAACTGACCCGTGCCTCAGAGGGAAGAATATTGCCTGCTACATTTGGAGCATTCCTTAGCTTGGCTGGATATCCTGGCTCTTACAAATGCCTTCTGTGGAGCTGGCTCAGGGGTCATATCAGTGCCTTGATCAGGAGCAACAACACTAATAGATAATAAACTGTGCTCAAACTGAATCAACAGAAAGCTTTGAAATCTGTCAGAAAAAGGCTTTGACATCCAAAGCAGGCTTGCACAACTTGTGTTCATCAAACCAAATGCAGCCCCCTGGCTACCCACTCTCCTTTTCTGCATTCCCAGGCAGACAGCAGAAAGAGGTGAAGGGGGACCCTTTGATTCTTCCTGTAGCATCAGAGGTCCAGCACCTGCCTTTATTGCCCCAGGAAGGTCTGGAACTCAGGTGGTGATGAATCATAGCTTGTGTGGGACCCTTGCTACAATGGGCAAACCAAAAACAAAGGCTCTGGGGTTGTGGCGCTCATCTCGCTTTATTGGCCGAGGGAGCCGGCGTACAGCTTCCGGGTCATGTGGCCAGCATGACTAAGCTGCTTCTGGCGAACCAAAGCAGTGCACCGAAACGCCGTTTGCCTCCCGCAGGAGCGGTACCTATTTATCTACTTGCACTTTGATGTGCTTTCGAACTGCTAGGTTGGCAGGAGCAGGGACCGAGCAATAGGAGCTCACCCCATCTCGGGGATTCAAACCGCCGACCTTCTGATCGGCAAGTCCTCGGCTCTGTGGTTTAACCCACAGCGCCACCCTCATTGCAATTGCTGCAATGGGAAGAAAGAGCATTAAGTGGTGTGCCAAGACCTTCACCAGTCTTCAAGTGGTCCATGCGGGGGAGCAAAAGTATGGGAACCACTGCTCTAGTACAGTATCAAAATGGCCAACTCCATCTTTAGCCTGGAGTTATGTCACTTAAGGCTTTTCTCTACTGCTTTTATGGCCACATGACATATTTGATGCTACCTCAAACAGACTGTCTCTCCTGCACATGGGCATAGCCAAGGGGGGCAGCTGCCCCCAGCCAAGTAAATCAATGAAAATACTTAACTAAGTGAGGTTCTGCCCCTCAACATGAAGCCTGCCCTCCAACATAAATCCTGGCTAAGCCCATGCTTAGTAGCTGTCTTGCTGTTTTCAAAGATTTTTTGAGAGTGAACAAGAGGTTAGGACGAAAAACTTTGAAAGGTCTTGCTGCCTCATATTGTGGTGCTGTATTGGGTGAAAAGGCCCTTTCCCAAAGAGTATATGCCAACTAACCCAGGGCTAGTACTTAATAGTCATATCTGATATTTTTGAATTATTATGAGTGCCTATTGAACTGTATTATCTGTTGGCTGAATTTGTTTTTGCCTTATTTATATACACTTGTGCTTTTTATATGCTGATACTGTTGGAAGCATGTGCTAATTTTTTAATGTTATCATTATAAGCAGAATACAAATACCCAATCCAATCTAATCAGTGTAGTGGTGCTCGTTGACTGTATCTTTTTATAACCGTTTGACAAGTGTTGTATACAAGCAGACAGTTTTATCCAAGACCACAGAATGAAGTTTCGTGGAAACAACAGTTACTTGGAAAAAGTTACTTGGAAAAAGGAGTGGAAAGAAAAACAATTAGGTCAATTTATTGCCAATGAATTCCCAAGGGGGGCACTTAATGAAGGTAAACAAGGATTTCCAACATTGAGCGTTTTTTTATTTTCGTTTTGTTGATGAAAGAATCTTGGCAGTTGGAGAAAACTATGGGATCACTTTGCATTTTTGGAAGAGGACGCACATCTCCAAAAAGTGGGGTGGTAAAGGGAGGAACATATTTGCACACATAATTGTCAGCAAAACAGGATGCCAATACATGTCACTGTGATATACATCTGTTTTTGTAGGCCTGAGGATGGGAAGAATCTGTTGGTTTCAAATGAAGATAAATGGGTCCAATCTAGCAACA